TATCTGATCTCCTGACTACAGTTCCAACAACTCTCCTATATTATGTGCTCCTGCACCAACTCCAAGCTGCAGATTCCAAAACTCTCCTAGATTATACTCTCTTGCAGCAACTCACAGTTTTGCGAAATCGTCTATCTCCTATGGATGCATGAAGAACACCGCATTTTTCAACTACTGTAACTCCAGTCACCTTCTCTAAATTTTCAGAAACTCTGACAGATATCAAGGAAACAGCAATTTGGTATTTGGATTATGAATCTGATATGTTTTCTCACCAAAAGTCAATAATACGACGAAGGTTGAAAACAAAATATATGAAGATGATTTCAATAGAATGTATTTCTCTCAATAATCAACATTTTAAAACTATTCTGTAATATTTGGATATTTATATGTAAGTTACGGAATGAATGGGTTGGATAAAAAACCTATAAAAAACTAAATAAAAATTTCCTTAATGACACTGTCGCTCGAGCGAAGGGTCGGCGACAGTCAAGTGACAGGCTGGAACCAAAACTTGGCGAAAAGCTAGAGAATTCATCGCTGTTTTTCCTTCTTTCCCATTCTCAAACTCTAGACCTAAAATATCATAACTTTTACTAATTGTACACTACTCCTTGACTTTTTACAATCAACTTTATTCCTTTTTTTGTTCACAGATTTGCCAATTACATTAAATACCCAATAGAGTGAAAATTATAAGTTTGGGGATGTATCTCTTGAGTGAAGTAAGGACATGTTAGACTATTGGAGATTGGAACTCGAATCAATCACGATCTTAATTTGTTGGCATGAGTTTACACACACACGTCGAGTTTTTCATGAAACATGTGGAGATTGATTTGAACTGTGTGATATTGAAGCTAATCTTTTGTATCAACACAAATCCAAATCCTTAGACACAGGGCAGGATATCTCACCCATTTGCTGAGTAAAGTCACATTTTTGTTTAAGAACAAACAGATGTTCAAGTTTGGGAGGGTTTGATAAGTGTATTTCATAGACTTATTTAGATCATCAAAACATGGATATCTGTTGATATTTGGATAGAATTATGGCCGAATTTTTTGTTTATTGCGTGTTTTAGGTTTACATCGATAAATACAAGGAAATTGAAGAAAAAGAGCAAGAAAGTCAGTTAACCAAAGCAAAAAGAGAAGATGAGAATTAAAATGTAAATAATCAAAAGTTAGCTTGGAATGAGAAGCGAAAAGTCGAGAATGCAAGGACCCAATTAGACAAGAAGAGAAGCAAAAGGATTGGAGATAAGTGAAGAATGAATAAAAAAGAGCTTGGGGAAAGTTTAGGGGCCAAAATGTAATTTGGCCCCAAAAAAGGCACCAAGGCGCGCGAAAAGGCAGGCTAGGGCATGTGCCCTACACCAAGGCAGCCTCGCCTGAGACTACCTAAACCACTTAGGCGCGCGCCTCAAGGTTAAACAAAAAAAAAATCCGACTTTCCTTATTTTGTTTTGGTAATAATTTAGGGCAATCTTTTTGACATATTAGCAGGGAAAATTTCGTGATTTTGAGGGGAGAACCGTATTTTGAGCAGAAAGGGGGAGGGAGGGAGGGGGAGGGAGAAAGAGAGAATTTATATTGGAAAACGAAGAATTTATCGTTGGTGTCCGGATTTGAAAGCTTGAAGTGAAGATTTCAAGATTTTCTTCATATTTTTATGATTCGGATGATGCCTTTCTTTTACTTTCTATATAATTCTTACATTAATATGCTAGACTAAATTCAATTGTATTGGATAGATGACAAAACTCTTTGATTTTTAGTTTCTAATTCAAAACTTGTTATTTTTAGTTTAATTCTTGCTTTGTGATTCCATAAACAAGCATAATCATATTGTTTTTAATGCTTGTGCACCATTAGGATAATAAGCTGCTTATTCGTAGTGTTGAAAAACTCACTATAGGTAGAACACGTGAATAATAAATATTAGGAAGAATATTTGTGAAGTGTGCGATCATGTGTGAGAAACTGAGAATCCTAAACTTCAATGCATATTTGTCATATGAATGCGAACTAGGAATATGATCGTCTCGTGATAAACATAGGTTTATTATATCTTGGAAAAGAATAGTAAATAAAAGTGAAATTATCAATCGTCAAAACTGTATGGATTGAATTAACTATCACAAGTTGAGGATTGAAATTAAAAATTGATTAGTAGAGTCGGAAATCCAATACATTCGTCACCTTTAATTTCAACCAATATTCATTGCTTTCGTAATTATAAAACATAGTTAGATATAAACCGATTGTATTTTGTTACAACCACGAATTTAAATATATCGAATACACTAGAATTAAGCTTTATTCTCTATGGGGACAATAAATCTATCATCACGATTATTACTTGTACAACAAACTCGTACGCTTGCGAGATTTTAACGTAATAAGGGGCATTGAATATGGTTCTTAGATATTTAAGATACAACTTAAACTTTGGATTACATTTACAAAACATTCTGTAGTATTGGAAGGATAATTTGATGCTAATTAGATATTCAATATAAAGAATTTCAAATCTACTAGTTAGGGGTGGGCAAAACCAGACGGAACCCGCCCAAACCGCCCAACCGAACCAACCTGACCGGGTTGGGTCGGTTTTTTTGTTATTTTTACACGGGTTGGGTGGGTTGGAAGTGTAGGCGAGTTGAGTTGGGTTGGGTTATGGGTTAACTTATGAAAATCGAATAAACCCGCACAACCTAACCCACCACTTTAAAAATAATAATAATAATAATAATAAATAAAATAAAATGCCTAGAAAAATAAAAAAAAAACCTAAAAAGTATGAGTAGATAGTATAACTGTAATTACTTTGGTATATTTTAGAGGAGAAGCTTATTATTGTTCTCACAAGAAATGTAGTATAATTTTTTCATGTTATGTTAAATGTACTTTGTTCTTTGTATGCTCGGCTAATGAGAATTGAATAAGATAATAGATAATTTTATTTATTTATTTATTTACTTACTATTTAATCTTGTCTATTCGAATTTAGTATAATAGAAAATTGGATGACTTTAATTTTTGTTGACAAGACGTCCCAAACCGACCAACCCAACCCAACCCGACGGATACTTGATTGGGTTGGGTTGGGTTTCAACATTTACATGAGTTGTGTTGGGTTGGGTTAACTTTTGATCAAATCGATCATGTTGGGTTGGATTTGGGTTGAGGCAAAAACCGACTCAATCTAACCCATGCCCACCCCTAGTACTAGTGGTTATATTTTTCCCATTGGTAACGTTGTTTGTCTTGGAAGTCCACAAAACAATTTTGTATAGCTCGATCATAATGAAATCGAAATTTATATCTTTCGACAAAGCCGGTGAAGAAGTGAATGGCTTCGTAACATTTAGGAAATAATTTCTACTTATTCCTATGATAATCAAAGTGCTTTCTGCATAATGTTAAAAAGTTAAGTTAAGCTTTTAATGATTCCTATAATAATTAAGGCAAGTGAAGTATAGTAGAATACTCTCAATAGAAGGTCACATATGTAAGTGTAAAGTATGATTGATTCTATGAGAATTTTTTACGTTGAAATTCTTTAAAACACTTACGAAACCCAAAAGTGGTTCATAATCAAATGAACGCAATTATGAGAATCGAAATGGTTTAGGAAAAACGTTGTGTGGGTATTGTTGTCTTAGTTTACAACAACGGCTGAGAAGTTCAACATATCATGTTCACTAATTTGCTAAGTAAATCCAGTAGTATTTCACTAACACAGGTTCAAAGTCGAAACTATCTCTCTTGATGTGATGTCTTTCTACTTATCTCTCAACTAGTGACTATATTAGTATTTGCATATCTGGTAATTTCCATTCATGTGAAAAATTGTTGGAATTTGATTAAGTGAAATTAATAAAAGTTGATTTTGATCAACTTTGACCAAATATTCAGATAGATTTCGATAGTCAAATCATGCAAGTGAATAGACTAACTTATTATACTCATCGAGTAAATGATAGTAGTATATTGGAATCTCAAAATCAATTCCGAATGTATGTGAAATTGTTGTCCAAAGATCGAAGGATTAAACGGAAATTTGGCTATATAAAACTGTTGCTTGAGCGATCATTTGGCGACTAGCGACCGGCGGCTCCCTGCTTTGGGTGCTCGAGCATCAAATCGGGTGGCTAGCTAGCGACCTGCCTGAAGGGAACAAGTTGAATTTTGGGACGTGTCTCTCCAGCCACAACTCCTCAACCCCTATAAATTGGACATATTGGTGATCTAAATTCTTTCCATATCATATTCATCGATAGCGTTACATCAAAACACACTATCAAATTTTTTTTCTTGCACCAAACATCAAAATAGTAGAGAGAAAACTCTGTTTCGAGGTCGCTGTTTTCTTGAAATTTGAAGTACTTCTATTGCAAGGAAAAATCGTTATATCTTGAAAGACGATTGCCAAAACTCTATAAGCACAGTTGCGGGGCAAATTCGTTTTAAAGACAAAGTGTAAAACACTTGCCTCGATTTTACATTCTTCATTTTTCTGCAATTTTTGCTTTCATTCCAAGGAAGTTTTACTTTAATTTTTGCTTGCATTAGCTTCAATTATAATTTGCAAATGCACACACAATAACCCCGACAATTGCCTCATATCAAAAGATCCCAAGTTTTGTATTCCTCGAGTATCCCAGCACGTCCAATATTGATTCTTCATAGGCACAAGCACTCGAAAATTGTATTATATAATAATTATTTACTATTTTGGGTAAATATAATATAATGATAAAAGTGTACCAAAATAATTAATGTAATCCAGCCAAAATCTATTTAAAATGAGAATTTAATTTTGTCGACAGTGACGTTACATTGTTACAATAGACACATTATATTATAAGACAACTAAAAAGAACATCAAAAGCATGTATGAATCCAAAAATATTGTGGTACATTCTTTTTTCTTTTTTTCTCTGTGAAAAGCAAAAAACATCTATAAATGTCTGCATATCAATCCAATGATCAGCAAAATCTGTATAAACCATTTTTGGTTTGGCACTTGCACAACTGTCCACTCTGAAACCCCAACTGCCAACACAAACAAATTGCTTTTGCCGGTACTGGTGCACGCAGAGGTGGTCTCGCCAGTTGCCGGAAAAACTGGCCGGGAACGTTAGATGCTGATGTTGAGTAGGAAGGAAGTCCAATAGACAGCTCAAGATCAACCTCAACGGAAGTAATTTGCTCGTGTTGAAGCTGGGAATGTGACTGAGTTTCTTCAGTTGTACCACTGGATGATAGAATCGGGCTTCTCAAATCCAAGCAAACACGGTCGTTATCTGCAGTGGGGATGGGGGTGACACTGTTGAGAGGAAGGTGAGTTTGAGGGTCAATGCCACAGTGAATGAGCTTCCGTTTAATGTGAGTGTTCCAGTAATTCTTGATCTCATTATCTGTTCTTCCAGGCAATCTTCCTGCTATCAAGGACCACCTGTACACAAATTAGCAGTAAAAGATTAGGAGTTTTGTACTCAATCTGTAATCAAGAATTATGCATATAGGGCGGATCCAAGAAAAAATTTAAGATGGGCTAATACTCAAAAATAAATAAATTTACACATAAAAAAATTGTTTTCACTTAATTTTTTTTTTTTTTAAAAAGGTGAATTGGGCTAGCAGACGGACGGTAGCACAGCCCAATCCCCCCTATACCCACCAATGTAGAAATCTTTGTTATATGTACCCTTGTTTTTTATAAATTTGTCCAAGTTGTTGAGTCATAGAGGAAGAAAAAGTATTACTCAGAAATCAAATTAATAACTTCAACTGCGTCCTACATCGGCAAGTCAAAGAAAGTTAACTTATAATTTTTATACAACATACTTGCAAAAATTGGGATCACAACAGTCACCTTTTATTGAGGATCAATGTCATTGAGGCTATAACTTGGAGAGGACTACTTTATGTTCACATTGCTAATAATGAGGGTCTCCTAGTTGACAGAAAATATCTTGTACATCGGTGATGTGGCAAGATGTAACAATGTCACCTCACAGGTCAGGTCTAAAATACTTCATCGAGCACCTAATGCACATCTCCAAGTGGTAAAAGAGGAAGGTGGAAAAACTCCAACTTTGTTTGAAGCTGTCACGTCAAAGGTTCGAATTCTGAAATATAAATTTGGCCATTGGGTAAGTGAAAGTATACAAGCAGTCTTCCACCCTATATCCTTGGAGGTATAACCTGCGATTTACCACCTTTATCAAGGCCCAAGGACAGGACATGTGGAGCCGTCAAGAATGCGTCTCATCTTTTTTTAAAAATACCTCATCAGTGGGCAAGACATCTCAGTCATGTGCTAATAATATGAATATGGACATCGATTCGGAAGGAAGGCTACTGGCTTCTCGTTGGCTAATAACCTTTGAAGACCCTCTATTTTATAAGTCAATTTTAAGGGTGAAGTCTATCAAAAGTAAATATCAAACTACCATGACCAAATGAGGACCGAGAAAATGGAAAATGCCGGATGTACCGAATGGGGTACCAAATGGTGTACCCCTCACAATGTGTGTGGGCCCGTGTGTATTTAAAAATAGCGGCTCGTGATCCCCACCTCCTAATGTGAGTGGGTGTAAAAGATTATGTAAAAAAATTATGTACATGTAGCATAATCCCGAGAAAATTCATTTTATTTGTGTAGAAACAAATTTTGTGCACGTGAGTTCGAAAATTAATCCCAAAGAAGAGGGCATACTTATTTCCCAGCAGGCTATGAAGCTTGATAATGATTTTATCTTCTTCTTGAGTGAAGTTTCCTCTCTTGAGGTCAGGCCTCAGGTAGTTTATCCATCTCAATCTGCAACTCTTGCCACATCTGAGCAATCCTGCAACAAGAAAAATATAAAAAACTTACATTCATTTATATATTAACTGCATAAATATTTCTGTAGCATTAAAAGCACACAAACACACTCAAGAGATATTCTATCAACTGTTTGTTTAATGTTTCAGTAGTAGAAAAAGACAAAAAATAATACTAGAAATACAAAATTTAACTCTACAACTGAATTTATTTTTAGTTGAACTCTGCAATAATATGCGGGATCAAAATTTCCAAATATTTTGATGAACGCATCCAAAACGAAAACCCTAGGGCGTTAAAAGTTTCCCTGCATTCTTAGTATATATTTATTTTAGTAAATACCAGCCGCCTTAGGAAGGGAACGCCAGCAGCCTTCACCGTGAAGGGTGATGTACTTGACAAGGAGCTCATCTTCTTCTTTAGTCCATATCCCTTTGTTGGTGTGTGCTTCTAGTTTACAGCAAGGTGAACGTCCCATCATTTAATTTCTTCTATGGAGTCCACAAGCAGAAATTGGAGCACAAAAACACCTTTTCTCAATTTTCCTTTTGTTTTTCCTTATCGAGGTATGATTCAGAGAGAAGAAGAAATGAAGAAGAAGAAGAAGAGAAGAAATAAGACTGTAGTTTGCAGGTAACCTGTTAAAAAAGAGGTGAGGGGGATGGGGATTTGACTGAGTCGGTGAGAAAGACAGGTGTTTTAAGGATGGAGCTTCTATTCCGTAGGTAGGTACAGTTTGACGCATGATTTGGCCTTCTCTCTCTCTGTACGTGTGTCAAACTCACTTGCCACAGAGAAATTTCTACATGAATAGCTGTAGTGTTTAGTGTTGGGCATGGTTGGATTTGATTCGCACGGTATTTCATGGTGATTAAAATTATATTTTTAATAAATTATGATAGAAATTTTTGAAATGTGTGGTTGAAAAGTTGCGGGACTCATGAAAAATGTGATTAATATTGATTATTTAATTTTAATTTGGATTAAAATCAAATTTCAATTCGGACCAAACAGTGGCTCGATTTTAAAGATAATCGAATCTAATTATAATTTTCGAGTATTTAGTTAGATGTAATCGTTGGATCTAAATTTAATTATGCAACCGTAGCCGTTCAATTCAGTTTCATTCGATTTCGTACCTTAATTAATTTTTTAACATTTATAACAACATTTTAATCCAACTAATGATATATTCGATCTTAACAACACTATATTAACACTTACAAAGTTACGCAGTTCAATTAAAAATATACAAATAAAAAGTTTTTTAAAAAGATTTATTTACTGATGTATATAAATTATCTTGATCAAAGTGGAGGAAATTCAATGAATAGGGGTAAGATGAAGAGAAGCGCAACCCCTCAACTTTAATTATTTGAGAAATGACATAATGATTGAGAAAATCTAAAATCACTCAATTTTGATTATTTGAAGTACAAAGTTGAGTTTGAGCTGAAAACAGGAAAATTGTATTTTGGGCCCAATTAATTACAAGTTGGCAAATGAAATTAAAAAAATTGATATTTTTGGACTCAATTAATTAAAACAAGAAAAAATTAAAATAATTTGACTTGTTTAATATAAAAAATAAAAAAAATTATGGAGATTTGGTTCTTATTCGATTTTGATACATGTTTGGTATTTTATTTAAGAAGAATCGCTTGATTCGATTTGATTCGATCAGGTTCGGTTCAGAAGTTTTGTCTAGCCCTCATAGTTATTATTGGCGGTACGAAGCGAGTTAAGTAACTAATTATCAGTACTTACATTTGATTACTACTTGCTCACTAGAAAATAAAAAGTTATTGATTGCTCACTCATTTTTACATAAAGTTATCCATCCATCCGCGTAAATCCTACGTGACGGATGAAATCCTATGTAACAATTAATTGTGTTAAATTTGAAAGTTATATCACTAACATTTTACTTGGGTTACTATTTGCTCGTTAAAAATTAAATAACATGGAGTTTTGATTACCGCTTGCTAATGCAAAACTAAAAGGATATCAATTACTCACTCACATTTATACAATGTTACCCATCCATCATCTATTTCAATTTAATTTTTATACCATTCAATTTTTTTTATATATGTTTTTCATAATTTTTGGATTGATTTTTGCTAATTACTTTGCTCACTCTATTTTCCTATTTTTCTCTTCTAAAAAATTTATTTTCGATTCTTATTATCCAACCAATTTATATTATTTTCGTGATTTTGGACATTGTGATAACACAAAATCATAGATGATCACCTTAGACTTATTAGGGGTGTCCAAAAGTCTCGAATCGAGCTGTTCTTCATAAATTAAATACCCGAATCGAGAATCGATGTGTTTGGGTCGGGTGTCGGGTCTAGATCAAGAACTGAATAAAAACCGAAACTAAATAATTTTTTATTTTTTATATTGAATTAATTANTTACATTAATTGATAAAAGTTATAAATGAAATGTCATTAGTAGTATTTATGTAGGGTTGCTGCAAACATTAAAAAAATTAATTATGGTATGGAATCGAACGGAACCGAATCGACCCGACCCGAACCGAACGGTTCCATAATTATATTTGGACCCGACGTTTCCATTTATTAAATACCCGAAAATTTTGGGTCAGTTCAGGTCTCTTCAAAATTGAACCGAACCGATCTACAGACAGCTCTAAGACCTATGCTTAAGATGGCTTTGCATTTGCTCTTGGATTCTCTAACATGTCAAGTAGAAAATAAAAATTTATTTTATCATGAAAAATAGGAAAACAAATTTAAAAAATGTAGAAGAAACATTAAAGTGAAAGAATTTGTAAAAAGAATATCAAAAAAATTCCTAGAAGAAACAATTAACATAAATAAAAAAATAATTTGAGAAAAATAAAATATATTAAAAATAAGGAAAATAAAAATCATATAAGCGGACTCGACAATAAAAAATGAAAATAATTTCAGAAAAATAATTATTAGTTGATAGAATTCGTATAAGGAAGAAATTGAAGAAAATATAGCGAGTAAAGTAATTTGCGAATTTCATAAAATAAAAATCAAGAAAAATATAAAAACAGACCGGACAATAAAAATCGAAAAATAAAACTTTCTACAAGAAAAAAGAGATAGATTGAGCAACGTAATTTGCAAAAATCAATCCAAAAATCATGAAAATCATATAGACAAATTGGACTGTATAAAAAAGCAATCACGGTGTATACTTTAGTGTACACTCTTATTTACATTCATCTACGTGACAAATTGTTATTTGACCGTTTAAAAATAAACTATTTTTCCATCCAATCAATTTTTGACAATTATGCAAGTGTCAAGCATGATGTACAAATTCAATATACGAATGGTATAGTTCAAAACAAAATTGAGATTGATGATAGATGAGTAACATTGTGTAAATATGAGTGAGCAGTCAATAAACTTTTATTTTTGAGTGAGCAAACAGTAATCAAAGGTAAATGTCATTTAATTTTGAGTGACAAGCAATAATCAAATGTAAATGTTAGTGATTCCATCCTTCGTGTAAGAATTTTTTTCGCCACGTGGACGAACGAGATTTAGATAGATGATAAATGAGAACATTATGTAAAAGTGAGTGAGCAACAACCTTTTATTTTTGAATAAACAAGTAGCCAAATATAAATATTGGTGATTAATCATTTAATTAACTCGATACAAAGTCCCCGTTTTGTTTGAATTAAAATCAAATTAAAATTTTAAGTCAAAATCAATAATTAATTTTAATTATATATTTGATGGAATCCACAATTTTTCAATTCCACATTTTATCACTTTTATCAAAATTTATTAAAAACTTGATTTTAATCTATATCAATCAGGGGTTAAATTTCTTGCTTTTTAGTTAAGTCAGCTCATGATTTAAAAGAACCCGACATTATTACTACAGAAATCTATTCACTACGTATAGAATTTAAGGAAAGCATAGCATCACTATAAAGATGAAATTAGGACTTAAAAGATGGAGTTAAACACTACATAGACTAGCAAATTTCTTACGAATTCAAAGACACTCCTTTACTTTTTGGGAGTTCAAATTGTAATTATAATTCATTTGACTACCCTTGAGTCGATTAAATGAAAAAAGAACAATGCTACTGTTATAGAAAAAAATATGTAAAAATAACAGAACACACGCATGGGGTGGGCCCCATTTTTTATAATAATATTTTATTCACATGGGGGTCCACCCCCATGTGAGTATTCTGACATTTTTACAGATGAAATAATATGTTGTACTTGTTTGGTAGTGATTTTTGGGAAAAAATTGATTTTGAATAGTGATATGATGGGAAATGTGTGGTTAAAAAAGAAGAAAAATTATTGATGTGATGAAAAATATTATTTTATNTGAATAGTGCTATGATGGGAAATGTGTGGTTGAAAAAGAAGAAAAAATTATTGATGTGATGGAAAATATTATTTTATTGAAAAATGTGTGGTTGAAAATGAGAATTGATTTGAGAATCAATTCTCAAAATCAGAAACAAACACCCCCTTAATTTCATCTTTCATTTAACATATCGTCTATCACCATATAAACTAGAGTTATAATGTCAGTGAAGCTGCATAGCATTACTCAAATGTAAGACATTATGTGACTTGATGTGGTAATAAATGTCAACTAGGTTCGAAACCACCATGAAAATTAACTGGACTTGATTTTCACTATAATTAAAAAATAAACATTTTTTGTTTTTATGTTTTGTTTAGAATGAGTTAATCTCACCTGAGAAGCAATAAAAATTCCAAGACATGTTCATATGACTAGGTGCAA